TATAAAAAAATTATTATTATTAGGAAATAAATAGTTTTTCTTAGTTTCAAATTATAAATTAAATTATATTGCATGAAAAATTATTTGAATAATCAATAATATTAATAAATATTAAACTTAAATTTTCCCAAAATATTTCTAAAATCAAAATGAGCTTATTAACAAATTATAATGAGAAAATTCTTGCGCGAGCGGCGCATCGTTGGGTTCCGCGTTCTTTTCGCTCTCTCTCTTGCCGGTTACTTTCGTGCCACGCCCAAACAACGGCCGACGCCTACGCCCGGTTGAGGGACAGAGCTAGAGACACATACACACACAAACATTATTTAAGACTAGTTTTAAACATTAAGCGTTTACTGTTGTTGTTGTTGTTGTTGTTTTTGTTCTTGCTGTTGTTGTTGTAAACGAAATCACAAATTGAAGCAGAAAGCAGAATACCCGCCTCCAATTGGACTCCGATTGGACTCCAATTGGCTGTCACTTCAAACCACGATGGGCGTGCGAGCATCCAGAGTTTTGCTATCCGTCAGCGTGGAGGACAATGAGCAGGAGGTGTTGTTGTTGTTGAGGCTAGAGTCCTGTTGCTCCTCCAGCTCCCGCTCCCGCTCCTCCTGCTCCGCATTGTTGTTGTCGCCCGGCGGCGCATGCAGCTGCACTTGCTCCGTTATGGTCAACGGCTCATCCCCAAACTCCGACTGTGGCGACTCGAGGCATGGCGGCGGAGGCGTATGCATCGCATACAAGCAGTTGCTCGACGTGGTCGAAATGGTTGAGCTGCTCTCCACGCTGGGTACCTCCAGCTTCAGCTCCAGCTCCGGCTCCAGCTCTGGCTCCGACTGCAGCTGCGTCATCAGCGTCTCCTCTTCGCTGCTGGTCAACTCGTTCAGCTCGGCGACAGTGCGATGTATGCGTACATGCTGCACTGCATCATCGTCGAATTTGCTGTTCAGCTCGTAGTACAGCTGCAAGCTGTCCTCCACAATGGGCGCAAAGATGCGATGGAATTGCCGCAGCAAATCCGAATCGTTGCCCAGCTCCAGTCCCAGCTCATCCTGCTGCCATTCCCGCCGCTGCTGCTGCTCGTCTGCTTGTTGGTAGAAACTAAAATCAATTGCATTATCCACGACCTCCCTTCCATGCTTATCAACAACATTTATTGAGCAATCTTTAACACTTCGTTGACCGCGTCAGACTTTGCCCTTCGGCGATTTGCACTTCAGAGGCGTCGCATTGCCGGTCAAACTGCGAAGAAATGGGATTGTTAGGATTAAACATATATGGATATGTTATATAAACTAATATTTATTAAATTCCTTCTACTATTTAAATTAATAATAGTGTCCTACCCTTCATCCTTGCCGGTCTGTGTTTGCGCCGTGGAAACCGTGCTCTTGCTGTAGGGCGCCTGGAATGAGGTTGACGTGATGGTAAAGTAGCCGCCAGGCTTTGGCTTCAGATGTCGGTTGTTCATCTGCATGTGCACAGTCTTCATGAACTCGATTTGATGCGCCAGCTTCTGGATTTGTTCCTGCACGAGAGATGAGCTTGAGGTTAAGGAAAGTCTTACACGCTTGCACTGGGTGCCATACTTTGAGTTCCTCGTTCTCCTGGTACAGATCGGGCGACTCTTCGGGCACCAGGCCCACGCCATTGAGCGAGAACGAGGCTGTGATGCTGCGCACCTTGGCCTTCTGATCCCACTTGTCGCCCTGGCCCTTCAGGACGCGCGCGATCTTCGGGCCAAAGACCAGGGCAATGGTCGTCGTGGTGGATAATTGGGTGCGCACAAAGCCCAGCATGTATTTGTAGTCGGGTCCAGCATTTGGAAAGAGCATTACACTGGAAGAGGAAGAAAGAGAGCGGTGAATATCAGAGAGGATTTGGAGCACCTTTAGGGCTTTAAGGACAGTGTACGGCTTATATTTATATATTATTATGTATTCTCCACTATTAGTCAATCACTCAATCAATCAGGTTGGTCCTGTTGATCATTCAAGCATCTCTCTGTCCCTTAATAGCGAGTTCTTTAGATGACAGTTAATCAGCCAGCAATCCTATCAATCAGTCAGTCAATCAATCAAACAGTGAGTTACTCAATCAATTGAGCAAACAGTCAGTTAGTTGCCAGTCAATCATCGAATTCTCGGTCAGTAACTGAGTCTGTCAGTCGATCAATCAAATGATCACACTTTCAGTCAGTCAATCCCTTACTCCATTTATATAAACCTGCTGAAGTGGCCTTTTAATTCCCTTGTATCACTCCTTACCTATTTTTTCAACTCAACTCAACCTAACCTAATTCAATTTGAATCCCCGACAGAGTCGGAAAACTTTATGCAAAAGGAACTTGACCTACGACTAAGCCCTAAACTTAAAGTACAGAGGGCAACAAGTTGAGCGTTGCATGGGAAAAAGGAGAGGGGGGAAGGGAAGTTGAACAACACAACAACAAATTGCATTAATTATCAAAACACTTGAAAGGATTTCCATTTGGCAGGCAGAAGGCAAGAGTCGGACAAGAGCTTGGCAATGAAATCCGTGGAATGTCTGTGTAAACAAATGGACGGACGGACGGACGGACAGGGCGAGACGAGAGGCAAGCAGCAGGCGGACAGACGGCGGGACAGAGGGATGGAGGGACTGACAGATGGATAGACAGCTGTGGAGGCTGACAGCATGTCCTTGCAGGGCGACAAAAAGGATTACAACGGAAATGCGCGAGCGCACAAAGCCAGTGAATTTAATTAAAATTGTGGGCGTGGCAGTGGCAGTGGGCAGATAAAATGCCAGGACATGCGTAGGAATTAGGAAAAAATAAGATAAAAACAGAAATGGTGTGAGAAGCTCTTAAGAAAGAAAAACAATTTAAATAGAGGACTTCAACAGGTGCGACAGGTGCGACAGGTGATAGCTGGACTTACTGAAAAGCCACCATGGCAATATTCACAATGGCTATATTGTAGATGGCATAGGAGATCAAACGAGCCTCGTTGTAGAGGCTCTCTGCATTGCGCACGTTGTAGCAGACGCGAATGCCCCAGGCGAGGAACAGGACCTCTCCTATGGCCAGACTGTGATCCCACCAATTGTACGAGCACTGCTTGAACTTCAGGTGATTCTGATCGTAGATCTGTGAAGGTATGAGAACTGCTATAGCCGAGCAATTGATTTAACTCTTCTCTCCGACACTTACCACCTCAGCGTAGGGCGTGGCGGAAATTGTCCAGGTGCCCAGATAGATGAGCATTACGAGCAAGATGGGCACCATCCACTGCAGCAGCTGCTGGTCATTGAGCTTTATCTTATGCGCCGACTTGACGCGATATGTCAAGGAGACACTGCGAGGCAAGAGAGTTGTACAAAGAGAACGAGAGAGAGAGGGGGAGGGGGGTGGATCGTGGGTAGAGTTGACTTACCGCCAGGTCTTCATGAGCAGTGAGGTGTAGGTGATGCAGAAACCCATATGACGCGTCCATTTGGTGGCAATGCACCAGGTGGTATCCAGGTAGGGAAATATGGCGACCATCTATAAAGAGGGTAAAGATATTCGATTAGGCTTAAATATATATGTCTTTAAAAGTTGATATAGAGACTAAGGGTATTTAGTTAAGAAAGATCCCAACTCTGAAGTGATTACGACCAAAAGTTTGTAATTTTCTTTATTATAATTTCATTATTAAAAGAAGATTTCCCAAGCAAAAAGAAATCGAGCTGAGTACAAATGCAATTTCAACAGAAAGAAAGGAAAGGAAGGAAAGTCTTTGCTAGGCTGAGTTTGTAGGCTAAGTTTTCGCGGATCTCTTCGTCGATGGCGTTCGTCGTTCGTCATCATCTTTGGCATTGTTGTGATCGATTGGTTTGTCCTTGTCATCCGCGCCCTTGGCCTCGTCGACGGCTGCCTTGGTCTGGGGAGTCATGCACTGATTGCAGTCCTCCATGCCGGGCGTATACTCTTCGATCTGGATGGTTGTCTCGAAGAAGTTGTAGCGCTTGTGAATCAATGTGGTGGCCTTCTCGAGAATGACTTGGGGATCGGCGTCCTTGCTGATGGCCAAGTGGGCGGAGAGGGCAATCTTGTTGATGCTCAGCGCCCAGATGCGTAGGTTGTGGACATGCTCCACCCCTTCGATGCTGAGGAATGTGCGCTGCACCTCGCCGTAGTCCATGTAGTCGGGTGTCGCCTCCATGAGCACCATCAGCACGTCCTTCAAAATGCGAAAGGTTACGAGCAGGACGATCACCGAAAAGATGAACGTGCAAATGGAGTCAACAAACGCCCAGGTGGGCTTAAAGAATATAATCAATGCGGCCAGGAAGACGCCGAAGCTTTGAATCATATCGCCGATGACATGAATGTAGGCGGCTCTCACGTTGATGTTCTCCTTGTCGGCCCGGGTGCATTGGGCCGAAACGGAAAGTGGCAGCAGCTGCTGCTGCTCCTTGAGAACGGGACTAACAATATTCGCCCTGGAACCGGTCGGAACGGCGGACGTCTCGGACGGCTTCAGGCGCAGCCTCGGCTCTCTGTGCGAATGGGCTTGCGCCGTGCCGTGGGAGTGGCCATGCGAGTGCCCATGGCCCAGCTGGATGGCCATGATGATGTTGAAGGCGATCGCCAGTGCGGAGGTGATTAGCATGATCTTGGCGTCCACATCATGCTTGTTCGTGACCAGCCGCTCTATGGCCATGTAGACCAGCACGCCCGTGATGACCCAGATGAAGTAGACCGAGAGCATGGCGCCGATCACCTCCGCGCGGTACCAGCCAAAGTTCATGCGCTGTGTGGAGGGGCGGGCGCTCAGGTACAGGGCGAACAGGGATATGAGAAAGCCGGCTAGGTCCGTTAGCAGATGTGCTGCGTCCGTGGCTATGGCCAGGCTGCGAGAGAGTATGCCGCCAATGATCTCACAGATCATGAAGGTGAGACAGAGCGCGCTGGCTATGATCAGCTTGCGCCTGGCGATCTTGTCGACGCCCTCGTCGTGCCTTTCGTAATGGCAATGATCCCGGTAGGTCGTCGTTATGTGCGAGTGCCGGCCGATTATGGTCAGAGTGCGCATCGACTCGGAATGCCTCATATGACCGGACTGGGCCGTCTCATCCCTATCCTTTTCCGCTTCGTTCTCCTTATTCTTATCGTTGTCTTTGTCCCTGCCCTGCGATTTGTGGTCTTTGTCTTTTAGCAGCTGTGGCGGGATTATAATCACTTCATTGGGCAAAGGATGCATTGCGACTTGTTGTACATGGTCCTGCTGTGGAGGACTCTTGGGATCTGCCGGGAAAAAGTAGCGCAATATGTTGCTAGCCAAGGAATTGCTGGTAGATGGAATGTCCCCTTCGACAGCCGAACCGTCTTCAACAGGCGAAGCTCTTGGCTGTTCGGTGAAGTTGGAACTACCGGGATGAGAGGCTCCGCTGTAGGTCATAGCTGGCACCAGATGGCGTAGGCTGGAACTCGACTGATTCTGGGCACTAGAGGCCTTGTTGGCTGAGCTGACCAAGGCGCTATCAGTTGGCACAGCAGTAAGTATATTAATGTTGGGTTCACAAGGCATTGGTGTAGACCTCTCCAGTGGAATGACCGGATCGTGAGCAGTCTCTGCAGTCCCTTGATTTGTTGTTGGCCTCTCTCTGCCAAACCTGGACAGATTTGGCGGCTGCTCCACGCTGACTGGCTCTGACGTAGTAGGCAAAGCAGTTTCTTGACTTACTGGGCTGCTGTCGATTGGCGTTGGTCTAGACCGGCCGTAGATCGGAAAATTATATATCAAATTAATAATCGGCTCCTCCAGTTGCCTAGTCGCTGAAGTGATGGCCTTTACAGTTCGTGTTAAAGTGTTAGATGGCTCGATCTCGGTATCCATAGCCGTTGACTGTTGCTCATTGACTTCGATTAGTTGATTAGTTGCGGCTAAACTTGAGGCTGCTGTGTCTAGATCGGGCTCCCTAGACATGATTGTATTGATGCGTTGGTCTGCTCTTGCACCCGCAGTTTGGTCTGGAATTATATTTTGGATTCCTTGTTCAGCTGCCATTGGATATTTAAGCCCTTCAACTCGATCAGCTCTCATTAAAAATTTCGTCTCTTCATCTCGGGATGAAGCTCTTTCAGCTGGCGAATCTTCTGAGTTGATTGAACTGCTGGACAGTCGCTCAGCAGTTTCTTCAGACTGATTTAAGAAATTGGGCATTGTAGAGCCATTTTCAAACAGAGGCTCTTGATAAGTGACTACGTAGGAGCCATCTGTTTGAATTAGTTCTTCGGTTTCACCTTCTTCTTCCAGGTCATAGAAATCTTCTTCGGCCTGTACTATTGAGCTGCTGCTTGGTACTGGAGTAGATCCTATATCTATCACTACGTTGCTCGGCATTGGAGATGATCCTGCATCTATTACTCCAAGGCTTGGTACTGGAGTGAATCCAGCGTCTATTAGCCCAGTGCTTGGTATTGGAGTAGACCCTTCATATATTAGTCCAGTGCTCGGTATTGGGGTAGCCTCTTCATCTATCACTCCAATGCTCGGTACTGGACTAGTMCCGGTATCTATTATTCCAGTACTCGGTACCGGAGTAGTCCCGGTATCTATTATTCCAGTACTCGGTACAGGCGAGGTTCCGGTATCTATTATTCCAGTACTCGGTACCGGTGTAGTCCCGGTATCTAATATTCCAGTGCTCGGTACTGGAGCAAACTGTGTGCCAATTACACCCGGGGTGGACTGAACTTCTGTGGCCTCCATTGCCTCATCCACAAACTGATTGGGGGCAGTGATGTTGATAGACTCGGCAAGCTTTTCATTGGGCTTTGGTCGATTTCTTTTGAACGATGTTAGATTTGCAAAAAAGCCGCTGGTTGCCTTCTGTGTGGGGTGCTTCTCCTGACTCTGCGCTTCTGCAGTCGGTTTCTCGACAGCCGAGGATTCTGCTCTACCTCGACCAAATAATGGCAAATTGCTGAAGAACTTTGTCTTCTTGCCCTCGGGCAACGCTTTTGTTGTTGATGGCTCTTCATCGCTGGGCTCTACGTTGAGGCTTCGTCGAAATGGGCCCGTCAGTATATTGATGGCCCCAGTTGAGTGTTTGCTTGGCTCCAATACATTCTCTGGCCGGGCGGCGACCTGTGCCTCTTTGGCTGGAGTTGCTATGGCAGCAATGGCTGCTTCGGCTTGCTCCCTGATTTGGAAGTATGACTTGGGCCTGGAGGCAGCTTCAATGCGCTCCAATTTGGATTCTTCGTCCGATGTTGTGGGCTCCAGTCGCTCGGGCTTAACCGTAAACTGCAAATAGTTTGGCATTGTCGTCTGCTTGCCAGCCTCGGGTTTCTTTAATGGGTCCGATCTGGGCTGTTGCTCTGCGGGCAGAGGTTGAGCCAAACTGCCTGACGGCATGGCTGTTTGCTTCAGTCTCTCGCCCGAGGGTTCTGCTTTCTTTGGCTTGTGTTCTGGAGTGCTCTTCTTGCCGACGGCGGTATTTTCCGCTTGAATTCCCACATCTGTCACAGTCTTGAGCCATTTCCTTTGTGTTTCTGGCGACGCAGTCTTCTTGAGTTTCTCAATTAGATTGCCAATGTGGCGGGGCTCCGACGGTTGCCTGCTTGGCGTTTGCTTCTGTTTGGGGTCAATATCGGGCACCTGAACCATCTCTCTTAAGGCTGCCTGCATGGCTTCCTCGTCCTCCTCCTCCTCCACCTCCTGCAGCTCCTCGCCAACGTCATTAGCTTCGTTATCGCTATCGTTGACATGGGATGCGCCTTTACGCTCGCTCAGAGCTCGTTCCTGGTCGCTCATGTTGTAGTAATGTTTTATTGTTGCTTTAGTTTGTTTTACACACTTACAAAGCCCAGACTCTGATTAAAAAATCAGTTACGTTTATATTTAGTAAATGAGACGCTTGAAAGCTCCCCCAGCTCCCCCAGTTCCCCCAGCTGCCATAACAACGAGCATCCGCATCTCCACGCAACCTTTTAACCCATTTGTTGTGCTCGTGTTACTCGCAGGCTTTTGCCATTGTTCTCTTGTCTTTTATGCGTCCGACGGGAGTTCCATTGTCGTTTGGCTAATGTTGACAGCATCATTGTAAACAATACTGGAATGTATTTGTACGTGGCTAATGCTAGTATACTCTGCACGCCATGTGAGTACTGCTGTCAAATGGAGCAAGAAATGTTGGGGCAAATCTGTCGAGTCATCAAAGTTCATATATACACGAAGTTGAGTATTAACCAGTTGAAATATTGCTGATATTTGGCAACTGCTAATCATTTGTTAACAGTGTTTGGTTAACCCATGATTAGCTGTTATTTACACTTGCTCTTTGTTTAACCATTCAAGATGATTTTCACTTACATTTACATTAAATAAGGGGTAGTACATACGACTGTTATCAATTATGTTAACTAACACTGCTTGAGACTGCGTATGCCTAGTTAACATGACCATAAAATGTAAATAACAGCTTGAACTTGCATTTCAAATGTTATGTTAGCTATACTGTTGCACTTTGAGTAGCTCTGTAAACTAGCTGTTAAAGGTTAAACTTAAATTCCAAATGTTAAGGCATCTCTGTATATGCATATATCGTTATTAAAGAAGTCTCTCTGTTAGATATTAGGCTTGCTCTAGCTCAAGTATAAAATTCATTAGCATGCAAGTTCACATTGCTTTAGTTAATATTTAACAGCGTGGCTTTAACAGTAAAGCCACATCAGACTAACACTTTTAGAGCCTCTCGAACTAAATAATTAATCGTGGGCAAAGTTTTCATTAACTCCTGCACAGTTACAAACGGCATAGCGTAAGCTGCAATGCCGTCGACAGAGGCGAGTGCCTAAAAGCCGCATTTAAAAAGCCATAAAACGGAGTCGTATGTTGCCTCAGCCGCAGGTGCTGCGAGTGGTGAGTGCGGCTTTACAACATGTGGGTCAATTGTAAATGGGACCAAAATGAGACCCTTTGTCACATTAGCAGCCTTTGCCTGGCTTTGTCCTGCCATCCATTCGTAATGCTCTTTGTGTGTAGCTCGACTTTTAATGGGTTAAGTAGCCAGCAGAGTGTAACGCACTCTCTCCCTCTCCCTCTGCCCCTCTGCCCACCTCTCTCTCTCTCTCCTGCTCACATGTTTTATAGCTACTCACCTCCAAATACATAATGGCACAGCCAATGAGCGTGATCATCAGGAAGATGGGGCTGGCCACCTTGAAGACTTTGACCCGCCGATGCTTGAAGAGATAGCAGAGCAGCACAAGGGTTCCACAGGCGCAGCCAATCGAAATGGTCAGCAGAGATATTCTGTGGAATAAAAGTTGAAGTACCATATTGATATATGTGTGTAGAGTCAAATAGACTTGGATATAGGAAATAGATCAAAGATGTCATATAAATAAAATAGGATATTAGCTTTCCTGTCACGTCTTCTCATCTCATATCCCAAATCTCAACTCACCTGAAAGGCCAGTGATAGTTGGCCAGGCAAGGCTCGGGTCCGGTGCAGGTGTCACAGCCGGGGGCGCAGGGCAAACACTTGAATACGTCCGTATAGTAATTGCTTATATTGTCCTGATGCTCCTGCCAGGCAATCTCCATGATGGTGCCATTGAAGCCATCCGGATGCCGCAGCGAATAGTAGCCCCGCTTGCAGAGGCACTGATACGAGCCGCGCGACCAGCTGCTGCTGCTGCCGCTAATCATGCCCGGCAACAGCTTGGCCCCGCTTATTGTCGTTGACTCCGAGCTGGGCTGGCGATAGTCGCACTGCAATAGGGTTGTTAATTAAGGCATAGTCTGTGTGTGTGTGAGTGTGTGGGTGCGGGGGGAGCAGAGCTGCTTACCACCATGGAGGCGCGATGGCATTTGTGCGAGCTGTGAAACGCTTGCAAGTCTCGGATGGACTCCACGTCGTAGCTGGCAGCAACTGTTGCTGCTGTGGCGCGGCGCACTGTCGACTGCCGCAGCAAGTGGGGCGGAGTGCTGCTGCTGCTACTGCTGAAGCGATACGGCGGTGCATCGCACTGGTTGACACGCAGCGAGCTCACATCAATGTCCACGCTGATGAAGCCGCGCAGGCCGTGCCGCCCACTCGGTGGTATTGCAATGCTGTAGGAGACGAGCCAGCGGCTCAGTGAGCAGGAGAAGTACGGATAGGTCCACCAGCCCTTGTAGTAGTTGTTCGGCGGACTGGGCGCAAACTTTGGTGACCGCAATGTGGGCGTGCTGCTCTCATCATCAAACCTGGTAAGAGAAGGGGGAGATAAGTGATTGACTTGCGGAATACCCTGTATTTCGTTTGAGTAAATAAATATAGTTAAAGGAGCTCTATTAAGAATATGAAGTACGCCCATTCCTATGCTTAGTACCTTATTATATAGTTCTTTAAATATTATGCGAGGAAAATAAGAACTATAGATTTTTATCGAGAGACTGGAGTAAGGAATTAATCAGACTCATATGAGAGTGAAATGCACAGTTGTCTATTTATTCTCTGCTATTTCTAGATAGCTATGGAGATTAAAAATATCGGGATAGGATAGGATCTGATAGGCATGAGGTATATGTAGATGTAATATACCCCTTCAGTTCAGTCTGCGTGTATAATTAGGAAAAGTCATCGATTTGCTCTCATTGTGCCCTCTCCACTTACCAGGGGTAACTGTGTGCGGGCTTTTTACCAATTTGCAGGCCCTCCTCCTCGTAGCGCTGCGTCTCGGTTAGTTTGTCGTGGCCGCCCTTTACCCACCAGACGTACGATTGGACTGCGCCGTTGGTTAGGTTCAAAGCTAAAATGCGTGCTCCGTTTATGTATTCATCAGTGAGCAGGCCCTTGGCCAGCGCATCCGAGAGTCCTGAAACAAAAAAGGGAGATACTTACATACATATATTTTTGTATGGAAATTTGTACATATGTACATAGGTTGCAAGCGCCGGGGGAATGTAGGTCAGCGCACAAGCGAAATGTGGAAATTAATTTAAAATCTGCTGCGGAAATGAGGAAATTAAATGCGAAAACAGCGAAACGAAAACAGTCGAATAAACAGACAAAAAGCAGACAAATTCATTAATATTTCATTTACGGCACTTAATTGCTTATTGCAGCACAGAAACCTTTGCATTTTAATTGCTATCGCATTGTTTTAATTCTTATTTTGATTTCAAATTTCATTTGAGTAATTTTCTGCATACTCAACCAGGCTCAATTCGCTTGCGTTGCATTTCGTTGTTGTAACGGCTCCTGCAAATACACAAAGCGGAATTCGGTTTCGCTGCGTTTGCGTTTTTCGCTGATATTTTGTAATGCACACAGCTGATAAACATGTGTATGTATGTATGTGCTCGGTCCGCTATCGCTTCAATGGTGTTTTTCGCCGAGCCGTAACATGAATGACACTGAATAGTTCAGTTTGCGTGAATCGCCAACGGCGAATTGAACATGCCTTGCGACGACGACGAATCTTGGAGGTGTCATTCTTTTGAGTGTTGCTTTTTGCTTGGTAACGGATCGCGAATAGTGTGAAAGGAAAGAGTGAGAAGTGAGGAAACGTGGTATTGAACAGATAAAAATCAGAGATGTATTCTCATTAATACTCGTATGCATATATACAAATGTAACTACTTGTGCATTCTACATTTAGTTTGTAATTACGTTCGCTACTAAGCGTATCTCAATTCGCTTTTGCTTTAATTCCATTCTTCGCAGGCCGCGACTGGAATGATTACGACGTTTGCTTAGCAGCGAATTGAGCCGGCAGCGAAGCAATGGTTGTCATTCCATTCATTCAAGTAAAGCGAAATGTGTAAAAGGGAAACTACAAGGCTCCACTGCGCAAGGAAGGAAATAAAACAACGTCACGAACAGATGAACAGCCATCATACACAGGCAGGCAGGTTCATTAATAATTCACTTAACGCGCCTTATTGCTGTTCACTGCAGCACATAAATATTTGCATTTGATTGCATTTACATCTTTTCCTTTTTGCCTGCGATTGAGCTGTTCACTTTTCGCAAACTCATTCTACAATGATTCCTCATGGCGTCGGCTGTTAATTCGCTTTCACATGCGTACTTCGCCGTGCATGGACCGAAATGACACCTCCTACTGCTGCTGAATGGCGAATTGAGCTGGCCTCGCTACAAAATGAATAATTGCAGGTGTCATTCCGCTCAATATTCTTTGTTGCATTTTATTGAATTGCAAATGCTGCGAGCACAAATTGTAAATTTTTGAAGATTCATTGACACTTTTGTAATTAAGGTAAGTGGGAATACAGTATTTCCTTTAATGTTTAATCAGCATATGTGTGAAAGTTGCCCACGACCATGAATATAAATTGAGCTTATTAAGCCTCATTATATTTGTATTCACTTTTTCATACTTTGTAATAAATAATTGCCATTTCGAATAAGCTGGAATTGATAATGCCAAGAAATTGTTGTGAATAAGCAGAAGCATCGTTATAGCACAATTATGAGCGCAACCCAATGCCAGTGTGACCGTTTGCAGTTCGTGAAAATATATGTAGCTGCGCTGCTTAATTGTGCAAATTAAAAATTTGCCGTTACATTTCATTCCAGGCCAGCTGTCATTGCGATGTTGACCTTGAAATAGTTTTATTATATGGAAAAAGGCCCCATTAAGAGGCAAAAGAAATTGCAAGTATGTTTTTTTTTAGCCTTGGTAGGGAAAAAATGGTCGTCCACAATGATTAATATGCGCGAGGCGCACATAGACCCAGGCCCCAACCTACAACAACTGTTCCGGAAAGGCAGCCAGAGCGAGAGAGAGGGAAGGTGAATGCTGTCAAAAGTTAATATTTTTGCTCCCACACTTGCCTGGGCAACCGCATTTCTGTTTGACTTGTTCCAAGGAACAAAGGCAACAAAAGCATGAAATGTTTACAAAGTAAACTT